AATAATATTAGATTAAAATATTTTATTTATGAAGATTTATTTTGTTTAATTAATTATTATGTGAATAAATTTTAAAAATTATTATTATTTAAAAAATGCATATTCAATAAAATTTTAAAAATAATGATAATAATTTCAATTATAATAGTAAAGCTTTTGCGACATAAAGTAAATATGCACAGCAATTAAATACGTGGCCAAAAATAATATTATAGTTAAATAGCCTATTTCATAATCTTATATTTTATATACATAATTTTTAATAGGTATAGATATACGTATAGAATATCTACATTCATAAAGCAAAATCAAACGTATTTAAATATATAAAAAATCAATTTAAAGGGTATGCAGTTATTCACTACTATTAAAAATAAATTCAACTTGGGCTTTGACATTTAAGTCCTTGCCCAAAAGTCGCATTTGTGATTGTTTGATCCGGCTACAAATAATTATATATTACGTGATTATAAATACTTAATTTGTAGCTCTCTGTGGGCAAGTCCTACAAATAGCAGCTGAATCTATAATACGCAGTACTTAATATTAACAAATCAGCACTAGATTAATGCTCGATAGCTAATTTTTATTTAAAGCATATGCATATTTTTATAGCTGACCTTAGCACTTGATTTATTATTGTAGCTGAGATTGAACTTTGCCATTCAGTTATCAGCAAAGGAAAATGGAATTAGGTACTATTTACTACTAAACTGAGTTTGAATAGAAACTGGGATCGACTCGCCTGTTATTTAGTTGTCATAGGAGGCAATGCTTGTCATTTTCTATTTAAACACACAAAGTGTGAGTGTGTAGTTGGCCTTTCGCTTCTGTAAAGATTTAAAAAGCAATTAAAAGGTGAAAATTCATAAAACTTCATTTACATATTCGTATTTGATTTTTAAGCTGACTTTAAGTATTTAGGATGCCGGAGGTGCAGCAACGCCGGAAATGCGCGCGGACTCTGATATGCCTGCTGCGGTGCTTCTTGACGCTCACGTACCTGTGGTTGATGATCCAAGCGGCGGCTGTGGTGCCGCTGGTCAAGGAGCAGCGCAAGTGGTTCCTCTGGTTGCGCTATCTAAATTATTTGATAACCTACTCCTCGCTGCTGACGTTCGATGTGCGGACCCAGGGCTTTGTGATCTTCGTGATACTCAAGATGCTGTTCCGGATCTATCAGTGCTCGCGCTGCAACTTCTTCAACCCGAGCGACGAAGTGCAGGGCGAGCGGGTGCCAATGAACAAGCGCATGTTCGTGTACTTTGGGCCCTATCTGCTGATGTTCATCACCTGCTGGCTGGCTAGCATGTACGTCTCGACCCACAGCCTTATGCAATTGATACGCAATGTGGACGACATACAGCCAGATAATCTATGCAAGATAATTATGATCATCCTCTTCAAGCTGTTGATCATGGCCAATGCGATCACACGCTGCATGCGCGCCACGATCTTGCTCCGCATATTTTTCGATGAGCCCGGAGAGGAGCTGCACAACTCCCACAATCTGGGCGAGCATTTGAGTCTGTTCTTTCTAACTTAGTCTTAGACAAGGCTACCTTTCGGTCTATGTACTATGTAAATTAAATCCGTTTGCTATTTAAAATTCTTTGACCACTTTTCATATTTTTCTAGTTTTTTTCACCAACAAAATTTGGCTACCACGCCGACAAAGCCTTTTTTACTTGGCCCTTCCAACTGTGCCGGACACGCCAGAGACAGCAGCAGCGGTTTTTTGAAGCGCTCGTTTGCTGAAAGCCAAGTCAGCTGCAGCAGCGAGCAGCTTGTTAACGCGATTATAACACACATTTTGTAACGGCCTTCTCTGCCGAGTTATTAAAATCTAAGCTCCCCATATAATTGTGCTGATATATGTAAAACAATTAACTATGCATAAGCTTTATAAATATATATATGAATATGTTAAATAAATGCAAATAAATTGATTAAATTTTATCATAGTTCTATCTGCTTATATAGCGTTTTTGCTACAGTCGAGAATTTAAGTAAACTTCAGTCTTTGATTTTTGCTCTCAAGATATGACCTTATATACATCTGGAGTACTTATTTTTAGATAGTCTCAATTGTATTTGAATGCATTTGTTAAATGAATTTTTGCTAAGCTTTTTCAGTTTTTTTTTTTAATTTTATTTTTTATTTTAAAGAAACCTTTGATTTTGATTTGACTTACTGATTTGATTTAAACAAAAATATCTATAATAATACAGAGTACAATAATGAGTAAATTGTAGGACTATTATATAATCAATAATATACTCCTTTATCGTAAAGAATGCGATGATCTGATAATGCGCTATACGGTGTCTAATAATGTATATAAAATATTCGATAGTTTATCTATTTCTCGTGAGTTATGCTCATATTATATATTTTATTAACAAGCTTACTGCTGGCCTTAGTGGCAGCTTAATCTAGCTCTACATACTAATTAAAAACAAAAAATCTCAGATGATCTATACTTAGATTACATCTATATTAATATTACCAATCATTCTTTTATGATTATATTTTTATTTTATTTATTTTTTTTTTTTTTTTATATACTGAATAATAGCGCAATCAAAGCAATTACTAATCTGGTGCCACACTTAATCCCAATGCCACACTCACTACCAATAAAAAGCTGAGGTCCACAAAATTATACCAAATATTCGATAGGAGTACATTTTCTCACTTGATTGGCTGTTTGTAGTAGAAATAGTAGCATTCATTTATATCTTGACAATCTTTAAAGGCATATAATCGTAACTTGTTAGCTTGAGCACCGCCAAATGGTCATGAATAACAGTTGGGCCATGGGGCCAATTGCCGATTGCCAATTACATTTACATAATTTGCGGGCTCAGAGCGCGACAAGCAATCATCATGAAAGACAAAGGCAAAGAGAGAAGCAAAAAGAGTTGGCCAACTGCAAGGAGCAAAGCTACAAGAATATGGCGGAAATTGTGGAGCTTCATCAGCGCGTGGCGCTGAAGGGCCGTGTCACTGCATATGACAGCCTTGATTGAGATGCCATCAATGACAGCGGCAGCAGCAGCAGCAGCAGCAGCGACACTGGTCTGACTCCTGCCAACAAATGGCCGCTGACCAGCGCAATCAGCTGTGTCGCAAATGGCGCAAATGGAGCAAATGGCTGTCAGAATGTGATGGGAATGGGCTTAGACAGTGGGCTGTGTGTGGGCCAGGTTAAAGCATGGCTAACGAAGCGCTCTGGCATTTGTTATTACTACAGTAAATACTATTGTGCAGCTACGAGAACCGAGAGCTCTATTGGAGTCAAGCGAGACTGCTGGCTGTAATAGGCTTACAGATTGTTGAATAAATCCGAAATAGCCGCACACCAAACTACGCACAGACATCCATGTGAGCTGCCGGCTTGTAAGCTGCTGTGCTAAGAAAACAATCTGTATAATGCCGGCCCATGCATTTATCATCAGGCCAAACAAATTGGCAGACTTTACACATTTGCCCACTCAATCAGTTGGGCAGGTGAGCAGGTGAGCAGGTGAGCTGGTAAAGCGACTGACAAACATGTCTTATCAACATTTATGGCAACTTTTGCTCTCTCCTTCTCCCTCTCTCTCTCTCTCTCTCTCTTTCACAGCGACAGGCGCTTAGATTGAGATGTATTAAACTTAGCCAAGTTTTGAACGGCAAGAATCACTGAAGCGCAAAATAGAGGGAATAATCTTGGCACAGTTTAAAAGCGAACTTGGCTCACTTGGCTCACTGTGGCTGCCACGCCATGCATAATAAACAACTGCAGTTGCGCTCTTGTGGGCGTGGCTGCTGATGCTGTGCAGCGATAAATTTAATAGCAGTAGTGAGCAGCACGACAAGCGGCAGGATTCGAGCTGTAGCTGGTAGCTCGTTAAGGACCTGCCTTGTCCTTGTGCGCCTAAAAGCATGCATAACGTTATTATAAGCGACCTTTCCGTTGTGCATATATGTGTATGCGTGTGTGTGTGTGTGTGTGTAGTTATTCGCATGCGGGCGGCCACTCGAAACAGTTGGGTCAGCCACTCAGGAGCACGCCTCCGCCCTTGCCCACTCACTGCCCTTAATGACTGCCCAAGCAGCTATATTGAATTATTGAGTTCTCATCAATACACGAACGGCGGACAGTGGACATTGGACAGACAGCAGTAGCTGCCGCTGTAGCTGTAGCAGACTCATCATTGGCCTTATTAACAACCATGATTTGGTTGAGCCGAGACCCAGCTGGGAATCTACGTAGATCTGCAGCATACACAACATTGTATATGGCTGCTCATATATTTAAGTGAGACCTACGAAAAAAGGTGCAATCGCTGTACAGGGTGCTTACGCTAGCAACAATCACGTTAAGTGCTCATCCATTTAACCAAACACCCTGTACTCAATCGACGCAGGCTCTGCCCTACGCAGCCCTCGTCTCGGCTTGCCTCGAATTGTTGCAGCACTTTTAAATAATTTATATATCAAATAATTTGATTGGCAGTCTGCAATGAAAAAAGAAAGAAGCATATATAGAGAAAGAGAGAGAGAAGGAGAGAGAGGCAGAGTCATATCTGTGTGGCCTATGTCAACTGATTTTTGGTTCACTTCATATAGACCCAATATGAACTCTATTTTATTTCTTCGTCTTTTCGCATTTTCCCTCGATTTATCACCATCTAGGCATCGCGTCTAATGAGGCGCGCTCTTAGGGCCTTTCATTTCCCCTGTGCATTGACCATGAATTGGCTATAAATACTTATTTTTGTATTACCCCTCCTGGCTATGAGCCATTCATGGCTCTCAGCGCGTAATCAATGTCATAATTGCAAATGCTTTGATTGCGTAGACAGTTGCATTTGCTGCTTATTGGAAGTCTGTGGCGTTAATTACGCGCAGAGCACGCTAATGAGACATGCGCACCTGGCGCACCTGCCACTGCCCCAGGGAAGCAGAAAAAAAGAACTTAATTAGTGAACGGTCAGTACGTAGCAATCGATGAGGTTTAGTATAATGAGGCCAAAGTGTGCGGCTATAGGTTAATGCATACCAAACGCTGTTCATTAGAGCAACGTCGAGCCAACAAGTTAATTTTGGCCTGCCAAGCAGGCAGTACTGGAAATTCTATATTTGAAAAATATAAGACAAAATAAATAAATACATGAATTTTGTAAATAACCTAACAGATTTATGTATAGTATAGATATATTGTCTATATGATGATATTAGAGTTTATTCATAATATGAATATATAACGTTCAATCAAGTGGACCCACATCTAATATATGCTAGTTATTGGAATATTGGTTCAACAATTTGAGATCCCTAAAAGGATTTGGCATTCAAAAATAATTAAGGTGATAATAATACAGTCGAATCGGATTGAAATATTATTTATTCATTGATTTGATAAAAATATAAAATCAAACATTAAAGTTAAATATATATAAAATAAATATATGCAAACTGCGCAGCTCAACATTCCAAGTTAAACTTAACTTTTAACTTTGCTCATCTAAGATCTTCCTCGCCCATTTGCTGTTCCATCTAGAGTTGTAGCTCCCTAGCCATTTCAACTGTCACAGAGAAAACAGACGCACACGTTTCTCACATAATTGGCACAAAGGCTGTCAGAAATTCTTCAGCAATACGAGCGGGCTTCTCATATGCTAATGCCGTTGCCGTATCCCGCAGCGAGTCGGCACTGACAATAAAATCAATTGCTGGCTGCTAAATTTGGTGTTGCTGGCATTGCCTCAAGATAGGTGCGAATCGGAGAGGCATATGTGAGTGCACACAACAGCACAGCAGCAAAAAAACAATGGTTTCATGTCGCTGAGGCGCTGCCAATATGCTAAATACGCACGCCAGCCAGATAGATGCCAGCCTGTGTCAAGGCGAATTTATAGCAGAAGGAGGGAGGCACTTAGCAATTGCCAGCGATTTGCGGCTTGCGCCAGCTTGAATGGGCTGACATGGATCTGATATTGTCAATCAGCATGGGCGTAAAAGCCCCAGGGCTCAAATAAGGAAATTAATTTAGTTTATGCTAATTAGCCGGCTGGTGTACAGCGCATTAATTATGGCCAAGCATATGGTGCGTATACGTAACGTAAATGAAATTCAAATCAGTAGGAAATTTGCATAGCAGGCAACGAGGTTAGCGCAACAGCAACAGGAACAGCAAGAGGAGCAGCAAGCAGGCCAAACACATTATCAATCACTAATCGATGAAATCGATAAGGTAAGCTAACAGTAAACGAGCGGGCGACCGACCAAGCGAGCGAGTGAGTGAGCGTTACGCGAGCTACCCACCCACAATTAGAGATGGTAGCGTGCAGCCGAGTGGAACTAGTCCCAGCACAAAGTGCAACAAATGCAAATAACTTAATAACTTATGCACATGTTGATGCTGGCAAGAACAACATTGATACGTCAGGATGACTTTACTTGCGCCTATCGTGTATATGTGTGCTTGTGTGTGTGTGTGTGTGCGCATCACTAGTCCAGTTTCTTTCATCATCCAATGGGCCGTCGCCTCATGCATTGTTAACAGCTAATCGAATTTACAGCTGATTAAATCGGGTTTAGTCGTCAGTGGACTGCGCTTTTGTTCGACAGCTTTTAAGGGCACTGCAGTTTTAGGGGTGGCTGTTTTGTGCCGCACCCTTCAATCATTTTTGTTTCATGATTTATTCATTCAGACACTTGAACGCTTTTTGCCCACTTTTTGATGCTGCTGCAGATTTAATGGCATTTTATCTACAGTTGGCCCAAAAGGCCGAGTCTGCTGTCGAATTGGCACGCATCGTTATATTTTCATTACCCTTTCAACAACTGCTGACGGCTTGTGGA